GCCTGGAAGGTACCTTTGCGCGAGCCACACGAGTTCAGGGCTAGCTGAGTGGCAGCGGACGGGGCCGGGAGAGCTCCCCCGTTCCAAAAGGAATAATTTAGCAGCCACAACGGGGAAGTTTCGCTGCGCAAGACCCGGCGGTGTGCACGACGTGATTCGTGCTCACCACGCTAACAGCGCCCAATATTGCTGAGCCGAGACCTGGCTGGAAATTCATGTTGCGCCCCGTCTCGCCCCCTCCCCTCACCCTGTGGAGCTGAGGGACACCCGTCCCGGTTGCCTTATGTGGAAGTGGCACGGATTTCAGCGGAGCAGCCTCGCTGCCATGAATGCAAACGGACTTGAAGCAGAGAGCTGCTCTTCTCTCTCCTTCCTTTAGATCACGAGCGGAGAAAGAGATAATTGTCGTAGGCGAAAGTGCGCTGCAACCGCAATTAATAGCCTCGGAAAGCGACGGAGCCTCAGGCCATTTCCTTTTAAGTAGGTCCACGGGCAGTTCCAGCGCGAAGTGGCCTCGGGCTCGGAGTAGTGACGCTTTTGCTCCCTTAGGGTGCAATCTTGCGCATGTTTAGAGAGAAAGAAGTCTAGCAACTCCCAGTATGCCTCAGCTAGGATGTGGGGAGGGGAGGCTGGGGAATGCCGGGTGTTGTAGGACTGTTTCTTGCGTAAAAACGCATAAGAGAGCGCCGTTACAGGCCAATCTATCATCCCGGGGTTCCGAAGGAGCAGATAAACCAGGCCTCCGATCAAAAGGGTTAGTTTACTGGCTTCGGCTACAGCCAGGGCGAACGGGTAGGCCGATGGGCTGAGGACCGGGCGAACGGGTAGGCCGAACCCCCGGCTCGGGCCTGACGGATGAAGCGGTCCGAACGAAGGGGACCCGTGGTCCCCAGGCTTCCCTGGCAAAGATAATCCTCCTGCTTCCCAGTAAAAGGCAAACCTTCGTGCTGGAGAATCATCTCCTGTACTCTGTCTGGTTTTCCTCGAGATGCTGCATCGCTTATTCCGTAATCTTAAAGGCACCTTTGCTAACTCAAGCTGAGCCGCGGGGACGACGTGGCTTTGCGGGTCTCTTTGGAGGCCAGGGAACAATCCAGTGTAACGGCACCTCGATCTGCCATTGCAACAGAGTGAAACGCCGCAACGAAATTGTGATGCAGACGCCCGGCGGGAGTCAGGCGTTGCAGCCTCCTCAGATGGGGCTTACTTCTACCACCAAGGCAGTGTGGTTTGGATGCAGGGGCAAGGAGGAAGCGGGTCCGTGGCAGCCAAGCAGCCAAAGGCCTTAAGGAGGTGCCGGCGCAGAAGGGACTCAGCAAAAGCAACAGAGCGACTGTAGCATCAAAGCAATCAAGCAGAGGGGGGAAAAGGGTGGGGGGACTCTTCCCCAAATATGTGGATTAAGAAGGGCTATTCGCATGTTTGCTTGGAAGTTGGCTTTCCCGAGACATTCCCCTGGAAATTACCTCCAAATAAGGCTGCAGTTTTTAAGCCTACTCACCAGGAAGTAAGTCTCACTGAACTCACTGGAGTTTACTTCCAAGTAGTAGCTTATTTACTTTCCATAGACTACATACACTCAGAATAAAAAGAATATGCAAATATAAAATACCTAGCCACCCAGATCAGACCCTTTACTATTGTTTCATGATTCTGCTATCAACTTTTACATATTATATTTTTTCAATACTTCCAGGTAAACTTTTTTTTTTTAGGAACTAGATTCAAGGGTACTTTAGAGTCGTAGCATGTTGCACACACGCATACACACACAGAGTAAAGATGTTTCCCAAATGGACTTGCTCTACAAAACAACAACAACAATACAAATATCTAATAGTTCCTAAAACTCATATTCTGTTTCCATTCATCACTGATCTGTATTATCTATGCCTCTAGCTACATCAGGAAAAGAATATAGGGACTTTGCTATTCTTCATGCATTGGGGTTTTTTTTTTTTTTTTTGGCAAACAGGCAAAAACTGAAAGAAAATGGTACAATAAATTAATATTCAAAACTCCACTCCCTCCCCAGTGGTCACCACGGACAAGGTACGCTAATCAATAACTTCTTGGCAGAAATCTTAAAGCGATGATGAGGCCTAGCACTGAGCACTTTTTCTAAGACAAGCTTGCAAACCAGGTGAGGAATATCTGAAGCTAGATCCTAACCATGCATTCTCAGAACCATGCCCCATTGCTTTCAACAGAACATATCTACTGCTGTATCATGTTGAAAACAAGTGCTAGGATTCCATTGTTGGACAGAAATCCTAAGCACACTTGCTTAGAAGTAAGATATGCTGATATCAATAGGACTTCCAAGTAAATGTAGTTAAGAAGACTGGGCTGCAGTACCTCAAGATTAATGGCACTGAGTTGGAAATAAATACTGTTGATATCAGTAGAACCTGAAAGTAAATCCTGTTAATATTCCAAATAAATCTGTTTAAGATCAAGCTATTTTTTTAAATATAGTCAATCCACAAATAAATAATATCCATTAAAAGTCAAGAGTTATTTCCATAATATTTCCAGGTGATGAAAAAGAAACACTTTAAAAAAGTGTGTTTACATTATTTATAAGTCTTCCTTTTTTTATCAGCCGATCAGTTTTGAATGATTGCCACATGGTCGATGGTGGTAGTACCAAGGAAATAGGAAAAAAAAAATCTAAGCTCAGTCACAATGTATAATTCTACACAAACCTGTAAAAATATTCTATGAACTGTTAACAGTCATCTACATGAAAATCTATACCGTAATTAGTGAAATGTCACTTTTAGGCACTTCAGCAAGAAGCTAAGCCAATTAAAAACAAAAAACAAAACAACTTCTGTATTTGACCAATCATGGGCTGAAGGAAAATCAAACACTATTAAAAGAGAAAAGAAAACATTTTATTGGAGACTATACAAAGCTACGATATACAATAAAAGTGCTCGGTTATTCTAAAAAAGTTGGTCCCAGAAATGGCACAATACCAAAATATCTATCTGTTTACACAAATATTTAGGAAAACTCTATAACCAGCCCCCCAAAATTTATAAACATATTTTTTCTACATTATCTCTTTCAGGCCCAAGGATGGAAACCTTGTTTTAAAAAGAATCAAAGAAGAACCTAGGGAAGATTCATTTACAGCCAAGATGGTCTTGGTCATTTTTAAAAAATCACTCTTAACATCCATTGAAAAAATAATATTATAACAATAATGTATTCAGAAAAAATACTCTCCATCATTATTTCTATAATAATAATTTTGGGAAACAGACTTGCATTGTCCAAATAATTTTAGTCTTGTATAAAATTACTCTATCTTGAGAAGACACTTTGTATTTTAAAAAATGCATACAAGCATATGCTATTGCTCCCATTAATCATTCTCAGATTTTCAGAGGTTTAAAATCAACAAGGCTAAGAGACACCCCCCCCCCAAAAAAAAAGATGTTTATGCTGAAATACTGTTCCCAGAAGTCCTCTTCTGGATGGAAATAGAAAGCTTTGAAGAAGAAAAAAGAACTGCAATTTCCCCCCGGCAATAATAATATTAATAATAATAAAATCTTCTGACATCACAGTGGACTCGCCTATGGAGAAAATATACTGACAGAGAGCTAGTGCCTTCTACCTCAGCCCATGATTCAAAATATAGGGATATTCCCCCCTTCCCCTACGTGTTTTATAGCAGTTTTTCTTAGCAATTAGTGGCTGCAGTCGAAGCACTTAAATTTAAGCACAGGGATCACAATCCTAAATTCATTTCCGAGGAACCGTATTGGTCTCCCTCCTGGCTCAGCCCTAAACATCTCTTGTACCAAATCGAGCTGAAACTGATCCAGATGTGCGCTTTTCATGCAAGGTCGGAATGAAACGGACAAGAGGAAACTCCTGAGTGCCACACGATTGGAATGAATCCGCACGTTTTCAGAGAAGTACACTGAAACTTCTAACCATCTCACTTTGAAAGAGATTCTAGTAAAATCAGTGTGTTTTACACGCATCACGGACAGATCCATTAAATATAAACTAGGACTGCATCTAATGACTTTATTAATAGGATTCGTATGTATTGCACCCCAAGTTAGAATTGCTGAAATCCTATTGAAATCAGCGGGGTGTAAATGTCGGATCAGGTTATTAAAGCAATTCATTTCAATAGGATTTAGTCTCCCCCCATCCCGCTGAAGCATCTCCCCCCACCCCGCCACTTCGCTTCTTTCTGTTCTTTGTTGAAACAGGACTATTTCGAAGCAAACATGCATGCCTTGGATGGCCCCCGCCGGGATTACATTTTAATATTTTAATTCAACGGGGCCATTGATTCGGCAGATCTTCATTTGTACTGATAACTATACAACTTCATAGGCCTCTTCTGATCTATCTCTCTGCCCTTGTAGGATTGCAGGGTTCCCCCCTTATGTTTTTCCCCGATCCCAGATGAAATCTCGTTTAAACTCATCCTGAAAAGTAGATTCCTCTGACATTAATGAGACCCAAACTCCATTCTTCTGAAGCACGCTACTTCAGCGCAAGCCCCATTGCTTTCAGAACTTTTACTTCTAGAAAGGGGCATTTAAAAGCGGAATACTCGATTTCCAGGAAATGAGTTAGGATCATGATCAGCTTTGGCTTGCTCTCCAAGAAAAGACACATGAGGCCACTCGAGACATTTCGTTTAGACACGGGCTTCCTTACAGACTGTTCCTTGGCGAAACGGTGCCCGCGACAACCCAGGAGCTAGCGAAGGGCAGAAGAAAAGGAAAGCGGTGCTTCTGAAGCGAGAGAGACGAGGAGGAAAGTTCTCTACACTTACGCTGCCTTCACGTACACCGGGAGCAGAGCTTTCTAAGTTCAGACACAGAGACACTTGGCGGGGGCCCCCGCTTGGCACTGGGCGTCCCCCGGGCGCCGGAGGCGGGCGCGCCGCAGGGAAGATCCACGGGCGCGGGCGGGGAGGCCGCCGGGGCCGGGGCCGGGCCGGGGCCGCGGCGCGGGGCTCAGATGTCTATCCGCGAGTGCAGGGCGCCGTGCTTGCCGTCGTGGTCCCAGTAGGAGCAGTGCATCATGGCCAGCTCGGGCGGCTGGCGCGCGCAGGCGAACTGCAGCCCGGCGGGGGCCCCGTTGGGCGCCGCCTGCGGCGAGGCGCTGCCGGCCGAG